AGAGGGAGAGAGATAGAAACATCAATGAGAACATCGATTGGCCCCTTTATTTGTTTGTTAATCTTCACCCGAGGATATTTTTCCTTTGACTTTTAGATAAGAGTGGAAGGGAAGGAGGGCGAAAGAGAGAGAGACACAATCATTGGTTGCCTCCTGGGGCCAGGGATCAAACCTGCGACCCTTCGGTCCTTGGGCAGATGCTCTTCGCTAAGCCGAACCGGTCAGGGTGCAATCTCCCTTTCTACCTCTGAACCTCTCCTGCATGTGTGGTCTCTGACTCTGTCATGTATGTGGGGTTCCTATACATATGTACATATTAAATTTGGTTATTTTTTTTTTTTATTGCTAATCTGTCTCAAGTCTATTTGATTACTAGACCAGCCAGAAGAACCCGGAGGGTGGAGGAAAGTTTGTTCCTCCCCACCAGCAGGAACCCCAATCCTCACGAGGCCAACATGTTCCACGTGTGAGACCCCTGAGCACTCCCAGTTCAATGACTTGACCCCACTGCCTGGGGCTAGGCCATAGGATTGTCAATATAAGAAACTAACATTCAAACCTGTAGAGAATTTTTATGAATTTATTTGAGCCAAACTGACGACGATTGCTGGAAAGCCAAACCTCCCCAGATGAGGAAAATGCTTTCTAGAATGGCAGTTATACACCGTAGTTTATACATTACAATCAAATTAGGAGCCGTAAATGGGTTACAATAAATCCACTGGTGACAGATTAGGGAGGCAGGAAAAAGCAATGTGGTGGTGGTGGGGCAAACCTACAAGATTGGATACAAAGTAAAATGATAGATACATACTTCTTTTACACAAGTGAATACAGGACAGTTAACAGTCAACAATTAACATGATAATAATAACAATGAGGGGATTTATGGTCTGAAGATAGGTGGCTACGTTTTGAGGGGTCTGGAAAAAGGAAATTACGTTGACAAAAACACAACAGACAGGCTCAAAAATTAAGGTAAACACAGACTTTTGTTACGAAAAAAGACTGCCTTAGGACATAACCACCTGCCATGAACTGCTTTTAATTTAAAAGTTTTAATTTTAGACCATCTTATTTGATTGCTTTAGGTCTCTGAGTTTGCAGACCTTCCCTGAGCTTGTCAAGTTTAGTATATGGTCCCTTTTTGTCCACAGGACCAATTGGGGGATGACCCAGGCAGTCACTGAGGAAAGAGCATCCTTATCTACAAGGTGACAGGTGGCCCGTCAAGCTCACCCTCCTAGAGGTTAAGCTAATACAAAGAATTATCCCTGTGTGTGAGGTATATATACTGAATACTTTTTGCTACACTGAATAACTGAATAATCCTTTAATAAATATAACTAATTTGAAAAGGGTTGTTTTCCAAGTATCACGTCAATGTCAGTGGGGTACATATTCCAAGGTTCACTGTGGGTTTGCCCCACTCCCACATTGCAAATGTGTAAAAATGTTAAGAGATGGAGCCACTTTAAAATGGAGTTGGATCTGCCAATCTAGAGGAACTGCCTTTTTAGCCTTGTGCCTCAAATCTTTGGAATGTTAAAACAAGGCAAAATAACCTTTGGACTGGGCCTAAAGCAACACTGTATCCCAAACAACTGTTTGCAAAGATAAGAAAGCAGCTATGGAACTGGATGGCGACCAGACAGAATTAAAAGCATTCTTTAGAATTATCATCACTACATTAGCTTATCTGCATTTACAGAAAATTCCTTCTTTCTATTGATATGATTATTCCACTTCACTGATGTAATTGTTCCTTTTCCCTTTCTCAAATATCCCTTTGCCTTCACCTCCCAATCAGAACACTATTTGGATTTCTGCCTCAATCAGTGCTTCCCCAATAGCTTTTTTTTTTGGATCTCAAGTAAATGCTTGTTGCTTCTCACTTCAGCCTTCTATTTTGAGGTTAATAAATGTATTAGTTTCTGGGACAGAAATTCCTGTAACCCCAAGTAAGAACCCAGGACCCAGCCCAGCCAGTGTGGTTCAGTGGTTGAGTGTCTACCCATGCACTGAGAGGTCACTGGTTCAATTCCAGGTCAGGGCACATGCCCAGGTTGTGGGCCAAATCCCCAGGGGGTGGGGGGCATGCAGAAGGCGGCCAATGGATGTTCTCTCTCATTGATATTTCTATCTCTCCCTCTTCCTTTCTTTCTCTCTAAAATCAATAAAAAAAAAAAAAGAGACATAGGCCCTATCATAGGTAAACTTTTAACAATCCAATTTATATTTGCCAGCAATAAAGTTCCTGCAGGAGGAAAATAGAGGTAGGCTCTTCTGACCTAATGTGGTTAAGAAACTATAAAGAAATTAACTATATATTTGTTTCTGGAAATACTTGGTTAGTAAGTTGGAAGCAGGGGCAGCTTGGGAAGCTGAGCAAGGTGGCTTACTTAGCATTTTAGAAACTAAAAAATAACCTGGATGCCACTTTTACAGCTTATTTTTTTAAAAAATTAATTTTTCAGAAAAGTTGTAAAGAAACTGCACAATGAACACACATATACCCATCACCTAGATTCAATTTTTAACATTTTGCTTTACATCTATATAAAATACATGTTTCTGAGCCATCTGAAAGTAAGGTGTAGCCATGAGAACCCTTGACTCTAAATAATCCAGCATACACTTCTAATAACAAGGCATTCTCATAAACAGCCATAACACTGAAGCATTTAATGATTCAATAATGCTCTCTAAAATGTGTTCCTGACACAAAGTTTCTCAATTGTCCTCCAACTCCTTCATAGTTTCTTTCCTTCAAGGTGTAGGATCAAGGATTATGGGATGATTTGCTGGTGGTCTGCCATGGAGAGATTCTCTAATTTTTCTGTTTTCCTTGATACTGATTTTCCGAAGAGTTTGGTGGAACTATTTTGCAGAATGTCTCTCAATCTGGATTTGTCTGATTTCCCCCCCGTGACTAGACTTATTATTATTTTTTGGTATGTGCCCCTAGCAGGACCCGAACCCGGGACTCTCTGGTCCGCAGCCAATGCTCCAACTGCTGAGCCAAACCGGCCAGGGCGACTAGACTTCTTTTAAACATACTTTGGCAGATATACATGGGGGATGTAAAAACCCATTTTTGACATTCAGCATGCTGAGTAAGGCTTCAGAGGGTAGCTCAGATACTTCTAGCAGGAATGGTGGTTGCCTCCTGGGGAGTGTGGCCCTTTCAAACAAAAGGCCGGCTGAGTTCCCTGTCCTAGATAGCTCCAGTGACCAGTACTAGAGGTAACATTCATAGCAGGGGTTCTTGGGGGTGAGGGCATATTTGGCTTTGCCTGGAGACATTTTTGGTTGTGAAACTGTTAGGGGAGTGGGTGTACTACTGCATCTAAGTCGGAAGAGGCCAGCGATGCTGTCAAACATCCCCCTTGAAAAAGTATTATCTGACCCCAAATGTCAATAGTGGACAGGTGGAAAAACCTAGGGAGCCAGTTAAGTGTTCCAACCAGCTGACTCCTGGCACCATTCTTGTTCCTGAAATGCTCCACTACTGTCTGGGCCATCAACATTAAACCCACAAACGAAAGTAACAATTTCCCAATGCTTTCCTGTTAAGTAGGAGATTCACTTTTATACGCCTGTACCTAAACTGGTCCTCTAGTTGGCCTGTGAACTCCCTGCGCCTGCCAAGGCGTCATCTGAGATGAGCACTTGGTTAGTTAGAGCAGGCACCTACCTATCTTATTTGGAAGAAAAGGTGACAGTGAAATCCCAAGAGCATTGCTAACTAACAAGTGAGCTGCAGGTTAGAGTGTACAGAGTGCTTTCCAATAATAAGTCCTGTCATTTAACCAGACAACACTCTAGGAGGCCGTTTATCACCAGGTGGCTGGCTGTGCTTTCGCACTCGAGGAACTGCGTCTGCCCTGGGAATGGCTCGAAGACACCCGCTGGTGGGGGGGTGGGGGGGTGGAGGAGAGCCAAAGGCCGGGGGGAGGGTGAGCACCGGGCAGGGTAGGGTTCAGACCGGGATTCAGCCTCTAGGTCCCACACTCAACTCCGTAGTAGTCAAAACTGTTCCTTCCTCTCCCTCCTCCTCCTCCTGTAGACACCTACCCTAACGCTTAAAGCGCGCCTTGGCTGAAATCAATTCCAACAAGGTCACCAGTGGACGTGGGCAAGGCTGGCTCCTGATCTCAGGAGAATCGGGCGAGTACTCCCGTTTGCGGTAGGGGCCGGGCAAGGCCGGGATGTCAGGTCTTGCAGAGGCCTCCCTTACCCCCGTACTCCAGGTAGGGCAGGTCAGAGGACGCGGCCCGGGCACGGGTGTGCAGGGCGGCAGAGGGGTCCGCGAGGGGAGCCGTCGGTGGGGAACACAGCTCAGCCCGCGGACGCCCTTGTCCACCGTGTCCGGCCCCATCGGACCGGCCGCGTGTGCGCCGCAGGACTTGCTACTCTAATCGAAGAACAAGGAGAGCTGGTCATTCCGTTTAAGGTATCACACCGAGAGAAAACGGTACTTCCCTGAAGGCTTACTTCCGTTGTCACTAGCGCCCACTGGGCTTTTGGGCTTCCGCGCCCCTAATACCGCCCCTTCCCGACGAGCACCTGGGACCCAGCGCCCCCGCGCCGCCTAGTGAGAGCGAACCTTGACTCCGTCCCACCGCCCGGCCCACGCGCCACTATATCAAGTCCCGCCACCCAAGCCCCGCCCCGCCACCCCGCCAGGTGAGCAGCTCCGGCTCCGCTGCACAATACGGCCGGTCAACCGCCCTCCAGGCCCCGCCCTCCCGCCAGGTTCTGCAGTGCTCCGTCACGCCCCGCCTACCCAGCCGCCAGGTGAGCAGCTCCAGGCCCCGCCCACCGCATGCAGCGCCTGCGCAGTGCGGACCGTCGGGCCGAGGCCGGGCGGCGCGGCCGGCGCAGTCTGCGGACGCAGTGCGCGTGCGTCGTGCGGCCGGGGGCGGGCGGCGGCGGCGGCGGCGGCGGCGGCGGCGGCGGCGGAGCGGGGGCGGGGCGGCGCCGTCTGGCTCGGTCGGGCCAGGGCGGGAGCACGGCTCGGGACGACGGGGCCCGCGGACTGAGGACAGTGGCCTCGGTGGCCGACAGGTGAGGCCCGTGTGCCCTTAGAGAGCGGGCGTCGCGACTGGGGCGCGGCGGGCTCGTTAAGGGGCGGCGGCGCCCGGGGAGCGGCGGGCTACGGCGCATTGTCCGGGCGGCGGGCGGCGTCTGCACAGCGCCCCCTGCCGGCCGGGCCGCGGGTGGGGGCCCCCGGCCGTTCGCCTTTGTTCACCGCCCCCGCCAACATGGCCGCCGCCCCTGGCCCGGCCGCACCGCGTGCTTTGTTCCGGACGCCGCGGCCCCGGGCGGGCGGCGCGGCCTGGGGAGGGGAGGCGATGCGCCGGCGGGGGCGGGTGGGGTGAGTTGCATAACGCGGGCTGGGCCGGAGAAGGGGGAATGGGACCCCCAAGCGGGGGAGGGGCCAAAGGGAGGGGGTAAGGTTCGAGTCCCACGGGTCTTGGGGAGGCGGGCGGGCGGGAGGGAGGGGGAGGGGTCCGGAGGAGGGGAGGGGAGGGGACCGGTCCATGGAGTACGGGGCGAGGCAGTGCGGGAATCCCTTGCGACGCTTGGACCGGGTTGGGACCCCGGGGAGGAGAGGGGAGGGGAGGAGGCTCTCCGGGTGGTACCCTGTGGCTGGTCGCTTCCCTCCCGTCTCGGCGGTGGGCTTGGCGGGGAGGGAGGCTTCTCGGGGTTTCCCATGACGCCCACCGCCCCAATTTTCGCGCAGCACCCTGCGCCCTGGGCGCCTTGCGCGGGACGGGAGGGTGGCGAGGTGTGTGCAGTTACACACACACTAACACACTCTTCCTCACGATGACCTTGAGCGCTTTCCGCAGCGTTTGTGGAGATGAATCTCACGACGTGGAAACTGCGCAGTGCTTGGGGTTCGGTTCTGCCTGCCTCTCCACTTGGGTGCGACCCCCCCCCTTTATAACTACACTGGATCTTAGCGACGGTCTCCGCAGTATATGCCTCGAAATAGGCATCCCAGATATGTTTAAGCAGTTGTTTTGTGTTTATTTGCTTTCTTTGATTTGTGGGTTGGGATACCGGGTTTTGCAGAGGGTTTTTCCTGCACGTTCAAGTGGCAAGTGCGGATTATTAGGCGATTTCAGCTCTACATCACAAAGCAACTCGAGATACATTTAAGTTTTCAAGGACCACTGTGTGACATGACTTCTGCAGTAGACGACATACCTACAAAACTGGGAATACCTATATAAGTTCTATTGGAATTTTCTGGAAGGGCCTTTGCAGTCAGAAAGAGACACTACAGTAATTGCTTTCTACATAGCTTTGTTAGGAAGTGAACGTTAAACGTATCCTGGGGGATTACTAGTGCAGATTGAGTTTGTGAACATTCTTAGAGGTGGTTATGGGTCGGGAAATTTCAGATGAAATGAACCTTCTCCCAACTCCCTTCCCTCAGCCTTGGTTAATATCAGACTTGATAATACACGTAAACGTTGCACAATATGTGTCAAATTATCAGTAGAAAGCATCGATTTCTTGTGAGGAATAAAATAGAATTTCCTTATTTCTAATCATTTGAGTAGGGAAATACAGTTACTGTTAAAATGCTGTAAAATGGATAAGGAAAAAGGGTCTTCAGTTATATCTTTTTTTTTTAAATACTTGATGATTCGCGGAATTTCGCCAGTAATATTTCTAATGGTACCTTTAATGACCAGTTCAGAACACAGTAAGAGTATTTACTTAGTTTTGGAATATCTGAAACTTAAAGTGAATTCTTTGTGGCACTGTACAGATGGTTCCCAATTTATGATTTTTTGACTTTACAATGATGTGTTCAATAAAAGTGGACTTCGAGTTTTGAATTTTGATTTGTTCCTGGGCTAGTGATAGGCTGTGTAGTACTCTCTCTTGTGAGCCTCAGCTTCCAGTCAGGCACGTGATCACAACCAACACTCTACAGTGAACTTGTTGCCGGTGTTTTGGGGCCATTGTTTTGGGTTTTTGCATTCCATTATGTCTATAAAATGGCCATCTGTTTACCTGTTTCTGATGAGAGAGGAAGGCAGTTACTCTTGAGGTGAAACTCAAGATAATTGCCCTACTGTAGGTTAATGTAAATGTTCTTAGCACTTTTAAGGGAGGGTAGACTAAGCCATGATGTTTGGTAGGTTAGGTGTATTAAATATCTCTTCGATTTACGATATTTCCAACTTATGATGGGTTCATTGGGATATAACCACATTGTAAGTCTAGGAGCATCTATAGTTCTAAGAGATGGTACAGGATATTAAACAAGACAACAAATGGGTACAGGCTGCCTGTCACTACTTGAGCCAGTTAGGCAGAGACAAGGTTGAATGTATATGAGCATTTATTCCAATATTGCTGGCAGTGTGGGAGAGCAGCCAGGTCACCCTGCAAAACTCTGCTCTCTATTCCCACCTTAGCCAGTTGCTTATATTGGATATTACATGGGGAAGTAGGCAAAAGGGAATTATCAGTGGGTAAAACAGTTACAGATTATGGGCATGGGGAAGTAATGGAAGCTGGGGAATGTTGGCTGTCTCACTGCACCACCTCTAAGACTCCAAGATGGTTAGTCTTCCATGATGGGGTGGAGGTTTGGGGGGCAGTTTTTTGGTAGAAGGGACAGCATTTCTGAGGTAAAATCCCAGGGTGTACCGCTTCCAGCCAGGTCAGAATGGGCTTTCTTTGATCACAACAAAGCAATCATGATTAACAACAGAGCAAGGATATTCAATATTTCTTATTACTATGTACTATGGCCAGCACCCCATTATGATTAGTTCTCTATTCTATTATTCTCTCCCACCCCTTTCAGATAGACAAAGGGTTCCGTGGTCACCTAAGTTTGGGAAACAATGCTATTCCTTTTCTTTGAGGCTCACAATTCACATTTTTACATTTGGGCTGTGAGACATAGTGTATTAGTATTATTTTAGACATAGTAGTATTTTTCATATTTGCCCCTAGGTCTCTTTTTGTTCTGTTCTTAGTGTAATGTCTTAACACCCATAAAATCTAGGCAATGTTGGTCATGAGGTCCTTACAGTGTATCTTAGATAATGTTACCTCTCCTTTGTGAACTGGGCTGGGAGGTTGATGTGCTTTGTGTGTGCTTTTGCATCAGATTTGGCTCTTACTGTACTGATGAGAAATTGTGTGAGTTATTAACTTGAAGTCTTAAATACCAGAAACGTAATTACAGTGTTTTCAATACTTGATAACTTACCTGACTGCACAGTTACAACTTCTGGCTGCATTCCTTAATTGTTAACATTTTTTTCCCTGCTCCTATGTTAGAAATACACAAAAAAGATACTTTGTTTCTGAAGTTACTAAGTGGGTTATTTAGAGATTTAAAAATAGCCCTGGCCCGTTTGGCTTAGAGGTTAGAGTGTTGGCCTCCAGTCTGGAGAGACCTGGGTTCAGTTCCTGCTAATGGCATGTACCTCGGTTGCAGTTTGTTCCCGGCCCTGGTTGGGTCATGTGGGTGGCAACCACTCGATGTGTCCCTTTCACATCGATGTTTCTCCCCCCCCCCCCCACACTCTATCTGAACAAAATATCGAAAAATGTCCTCGGGTGAGGATAAAAAATTAAATAAATAAATGATGCTGTTGGGTATTTCTTTGGCTTAGCTGTTAGCATCTTAATTAACTGCTGAGAAAGAGTAGTTAATATATCCATGTAAATACTTCCTTATGTTTATTAGATGCTTAAATGTATTTTTTCTTCTTTCTTTGAATAAATATAAATTGGAAGAGAGGAATCAACTATTTTGTCTAAGTATTTTGTTCATTTTGGAAGACATTGTGGTATTGTGAAAAGGAGATGAGCTTTGGAGTTAAACATGGAGATAGAATGGCCTTTTGACTCAGAAGAGTCGGATTGAAATCCAGCCCCACTAGTCCAAAGCCACATAACTGATTCATCACATAGCCTTTTTATTTTTAATTTTTAATTTTTTACTTATTGATTTTGAGGGAGAGAGAGATTTGTTGTTCCACTTACTTATGCATTCATTGGTTACTTCTTGTATGTGCCCTGACTGGGGATCAAACCTTCAGCTTTTGTGTATCGGGACGATGCTCTAACCAACTGAGCTGCTCAGCCAGGGCTCATGTATCTTTTTAAACTTCTGATTCCTCATCTGTAAACTGAGATGAAACCTATCATATAAGGCTATTACGAGAATTAAATTAAATAGACTATAGAGTTCCCAGTATAATTCCTGAAAAAAAAGCTGCTGATGCCAGACATTGTTGACTTTTTTTCCCCTTCCTTCTTTTGAACTTTTTATTATTTATTTTTTAAATACGTTTTTATTGATTTTAGAGAGAGGGCAGGAAACACTGATTGGTTGCCTCCCTTATGCACCCGCACCTTGACTGGGAATGGAACTGATGACCCTTAGGTGTGCAGGATGATGCTTAACCTATGAGCCACACTGGCCAGACTTTTCAGTTGAACTTTGTTGTAGTAGGTAGCATTTTTTTTTTTTTTTCATGTTAAAGTAAACAGGTTCTTAGTTGTGCCCAGTATTCAATATAATATTTAATTAAATCTTTATTAGGTGCTTACTTTACAGTCCTAAAATTGCCATAAGTCTTTTTTTTTTTTTTTTTAAATCCTCACCTGAGGACATTTTTGCATTTATCTTCAGATAGAGCAGGAGGAAGAGAAAGAGAGAAACATCGATGTGAGACACATCGACTGACTGGTTGCTGCCCACAACCCCAACGGGCTGGGGACAAACTGCAACTGAGGTACATGCCCTTAATGGGAACCGAACCCGGGTCTCCCTGGTCTGCGGGTTGATGCTCTAACCACCGAGAAACCCAGCAGGGCGCCACAAGTCTTTTCTAGAACAAGTCATGTATGCCATAATAAAGATGTGCACTTAGAGACCCTATAGTGTGTAGGGAAGATACACATGTATATAATGAGGAAATTCTATGCAGAGGGTATCTGGGAAGAGAAGGTGATGCTCCAGCAGAATATAGAGTAGGAGAAGATGCAAGTCTAGATGGAGGGATAGCAGGGGCAGA